CGTAATTTGCTCGAAACCCTGAAAAAACTGGAAAATTAAATCCAGGAAATTGAAAAAAGGACAGAGTTCAATCCAGTCTTGTCATTCCATTGCCCTACGTAGACTAGAGTAATTGGTCTCTGATATCGGAATTTACTGAAAATCCAAAAAAAAATCTTGGAAAGCAAATCCTGGAAATTAAAAGAGGTATACTGCAGTTTAGATCAAGGCGAGGGGCTATTCACTTGGAAATCGATAAAAATGATTTCATTCCTTAAGAAGTGATTGCAATTGATTTCATACGAAAATCGGTAATGTTATGCATTAGTTAGTGATTTCCTGCATTAAAACTTTCGGTATTAAAGTCTTGGCGATTTTCAACGATTTCCTGTAGTTTCCAACAATGTTTCAGTGGTTTCAAACGATTTTCTATGATTTTCAATGACTTCTGAAATGTCTATTAAATTCTACCATATTTATTTCTGGTTTCGAATAATTCTTAACATGACCTTTACTACCGATTCTTAATAATAACTGCGCAGTTTCTTTAAATAATGCTAACCGTGGATGTATTAAATTTCTTTAATAGTTTGCCGTTTTATGTACGGAAGTTAACTGAATATTTTAATTTATCTCCAGTATGCTACTAAAATACCTTACTTTATATGTACATAAACAAATAGTTACATATATATAATGAACATACAAATAATACTAAGACTGGTACCATGTTAAAAATGAATTACTGAGATAGTAGGTAAGATAGCAAAAAATGTAGGGTTTATGAAAGGGGTTTATTGAATAATATCTCTGTACGTCGCAATTCGTTTATATACTTATCCCGGCATGCATAAAACTAAAATGTGACATGACGCTTAAAGCGGGGATGACATACCCTAATGAAAATAACTAACAGTAAATAGTATGTGTTAATTTAAATAAATTATTTGAGTTTGTGACATCTAGCCTTACGCACGCGGGTTAATGACGGGCGAACGATTAACCTTCGAAGAAACTTTACCTATCATCCCGAGATTAAGAGGACGTTTAATATTATATAATAATATCAAAAAGTTGAGGCGCATCGCTCTGAATTGCTTCTGATGGTTTCCGAGTATGACCAACCGAAAATTCCTTAATTTCATTGAAGAGCATTTAATTTAATGATTATCAATTTTAATGATTTTTTAATTTGAAAATCATAATCAATAATGTTGTTTTTACTTCGTACTTAGCGTTAAAGATTGATAAAGCTAATTAAACAATCATGAATAAATCACCAATAAATCGCGAATACAAGAGTAATAGAAAAAACTAAAAACTGAACAATATTAAAACTTACCTATAAGTGAAGAATATAATAATCACGAAGTGACATTATCTACACGAGCAAAACGTTTGACAATTCAAGTATAACATGCAGGGTAATACGCCCTAAACACGCGTGATTTCCAAAATTCTTTTCCCGATGTTTTTTTTATCAAAACGATTTCCCATGATTTCAATCGTTGTCACCTGTTCTAAACGATTTCAAAACGTGTTACATTCTTCAAATAAGGCTCTTAATGATTTCCATGCGATTTCCAGCATTAAAATACAGGATTTCCTGAGTGAATACCCCCTCGGATCAAGGTCTTGCCATTCTATCGCCCTGCGAAAACTAGAGTAATCGTTTGTCTCGGATTCCGTAATCTGCACAAGGTCATTCTATGACTGGGTCTTAGGTGAGGACCTCGGATGAGATTGAAATAGAAAAGCTAAGCACGACTGCACGACTCGACTGTCGATCCTATCGGCAGCAGAGCCTCGGCCAGTATGAGACTTGGTTTGATCTTGATCGCAATGGCGCTTTTAGTTCTGGCTAGTGCAGATACATCGGAAGCTAGACCTCAAGAACCAAAGCGCTTCGTGCGCTTCGACACGACCGAAGTGCAACAGAGCTCTATTATCACTGTTCCTATCAGATGTCCGCCTAATACTCTGAAGGCTGGTGGTCGTTGTAGGGCTGTCTTCTAATCATCAGGTGTTAGGTAAGCTTAGACTCCAAAATTAATAAAATGATCATTCTCTATTTTTGCTATGAAAAATTTTAAGCTATGGGAGCCTTAATTCGTCTTGGATTAATTGACAACTGCACTAGATTAGTGCGTTTAGTTTTCATTATCACTAAACCTATCACTGGTCGGTCAAATGATCGTTTTTAAATGGTATTTGTAACGAGGATTTAAATTGTTAGCGATAAATTTACAAAACTGGGGAGATATATTTTTCATTTTTATAAAGATTTCTTTAACGATTTAAAGTTTTTTAAAGATTTTATTTAGACTGGAAAAACATGTTTCTTACTTTTACGATCTTTCTCACGCAATTCATGTGATTATATGTATAAACATAAAACCATGTCATCTTTACTTTTATGTGGAGAAATTTGCTAAAAAGTCGTGAAAATCTCAGTCATAGTAGTAAGATAATTATTTATTTTATACGATTGTTGAATTAATTTTTGTTTACACCTGAAGGAGATAACTTTAAATGTTGGGTTTCCTCATTAAACAACAAATTTAATTTACAATATAGGGGAATGTTGCTTAATTTGGACCGCCTTCTAAATTGGACCAGAGTGAATTTGACGAAAATCAATTAGTTTGAATATACAAACCATATTTTTAAATAAATGGTCCAATTCAGGGAACCTTCCTTTACTCACCATGATCTGCAATGGATCATAATATACTACTATATTTAAATAAATGTTGTTAAATAAAAAAAAGGTTTTCTAAAGTTATGTCATCTAAATATAAAAAAGTGAATTCAGCAACCCACTAGTTATAAGGTTTTAGAGTATCTGTAAATTTTTTCTTTAGAGCCTGCATTGTATGCATATTATCCATCGACCCAAATAAGAATCAATTGGTTGTATCGGTGATTTTATCCGCCCCGTCAAGGTCCATTAGAAGGAAGATCTTAAAAGCGCAAGTACCTCATGCGCTTCGAAGCGACCGAAGTACAACGGAGCCTATTCTTTACGGTGCCTATCAAATGTCCCCCCGATTACTTTCCGATACCCGGGTTGAAGATCATAGAGCAATCTCGTGGCTACCTAGTGTTAGGAGACATGAACATCGCATCTAATTTAATCAGTCATTCAGCCCTAAGTAGAGAAACTATAACTATATAGTCTGCATGTGATAAAAACGAAGACCAACGAAATTAAAAGAATCCACTTTAGCCTACTATCGAAACAAGTCATGTCAGCAAAACGACATGAGTAAATTTTCCCATAACTCGGGTAGTACTTATTTTAGTTTGAAGATTTAAATGAGGAACTTTCGATAATGGAGCAACACTAATAGTGATGAGCTACCGAGTTCTCATTCATGGTCGGACGTTTTAACGGATCAGGGGCTCATTCATATAGAAACTACGGCAAATTATAATTAGTTCCCATTTGGAGGTCAGTCTGCGATTCGGGAACTCGAGAGGGAAGGTCTAAGTGGGAAACCTAAATAACCCTGAACTATCGATTCAGGGCTAAAGCTTCGGCAAGTATGAGATTCCGGTTGTTCGTCCCGGTGTTGGTTCCCCTGCTTTCGTCAGTATACGTGCAGTGAACGGAAGATCTCAGGAGCAGAAGCACTTTGTACGCTTCGACGAGACGGAAATACAGTTGCTCCATTATTATCATTCCGGTCAGATATCCGCCCAGCATCCTCGGGAAGGAGATCACCGAGGAGCGGTCTATTCTTTTTCAAGTATTACGCACGAACACATAATCAAATTTCGCTTCCGTATTTATATGGACCCGCAACGTCATATGGGGGAACGTAATAGAATATACAAATAAGAACTGGGAACAATAACGAAATTTCGATTTCGTGGTTACGTTTTCCTACGTCGACGTCGCATGTAAGAATTAAATGGTAAAGAAAACGAATAGATCCGCAACCAAATTTAATTTTTCTTATTATTTTTTCCTGTATCAGTCACATGCAGGGATGGAACCATGAATTGAAAATAGGGACACATCCTCTGTGCGCATTGGAAGTGGAGCTTCTAAGAAAATTATTATTAATTATTCTTAATTATTCACGAAATGCTCATAGGCGTTTGGTACCCGCAGAAGAAGAAATCACAGCCATAACAAGAAATTTTATTTGCTGCAACAAGCGTGAACACTTAAAAATGGGCCGGTGATAGTATAGTCTAGAAACATTTTTGATATATTGACAACAAAAAACGTTTACTTCACCGAGGCAACACAAATTCTGTTCATAGTTGCAACATTCTTTTCTAGTAACAACAAATTGTACACAACTCATTCGTTTAAGTAGTGATGACAATATATTTTGGCTGTCGCAACAAACTCATTTGCGTTACATCTACGATTCGATATAATTGCAAACATTTTTGTTGCTGGTACGATTATTCCTGCAGTAAGAGCAAGACTTGCTAAATGCTGTTCTTTGCTAAAGATGCAAATGTCTTTTTTTCCGTGTATTAGTTGTTTTAAACGTAACACTACTGACGCAGACAGATTTATATAAATAGTAATTAGCTGTAAAAAAAGGTGTTTCGTTTTTTGCATTGGACTCTTTTCGTAACACACTTTCACGTACTTTCGGGCCATAAGAAGTTCCACTTCAAAAAGACCAAGGACAGCCAAATTTCAGTTTCGTGCTTACGTTCCCCTACAGGATTGACGCGTACAGAAATAGAGTCATGAATAGAAGGATGGGAATAAATCATCCCAAGCAAAGGGAAATAGTGTTTCGACCAGCAACGGATATGTACAGAAGCTTGACGCTACTCGTGTACGGATCGGACCACTCGATAAAACTCGAATAGTCGTCTCCTGTTCCGAGATATCGACAAGGTCAATTTATGATTCGAGAGCCGGAGAGAGGTCTAGATAGGAGTCCGAAATTGGATGCGACTATCAGTTTCATTAGCGCTAGAGCTGAACTAGTATGAGGCCGGCTCGCTCGTGTTGGTGATGACATTTCTCGTCTTGTCCGGTATAGAGCCATCAGATGTAGGACATCCGAAGTGGGAGCATTTTGTGTTCCCGGCCCGAATTGCAGCAGGGGTCCAGCACTTCCACCCCGATCAGATGTCCAACACCATCGAGGCAGGAAGTCGGTATCGAGTCCTCCACGTGTTAAGCTTTCGGTAAGCAGTAGACCTCAATTTTATTTCACGCTTCACATTTATCAGTTACACACCTTAAGAACTGTAAAATTCTTAAGAGGGGCGATAAAGATAAGCAAATGTAGGCGCATGAAAACGACACGCCCATGATTGATCCCGGCCAGGCACCAATCTTGGCATTTCATTAATCCCGATTAAATCAGCGATCCGGATAAGATAAGTTCGAACGCATACATGGACACATCGCTTCCATCTGTAGACGGTACACGCGATGTCGATGCCATTTAAATACTCGTCTGGTCGTTTGATAAAACTCGAACGGTCGTTGGTCGCCGATTTGGAGATCCGGACAAGGCCAGTCTACGATTAGGAGGCTCTAGAGTGGAGGTCTACTCGGAAGGCCTCACTGGACGAGGCTATCGGATTCATTGTTGCCAGAGCCTCGGACAGCATGGGATTCGACTTACTCGTGTCGGCCATGCTACTTCTCATCTTGTCAAGTGTAAATCCGCTAAACGGAAGACCTCAGGAGCGTAAGCACTTTGTGCGTTTCGACACTGCGGAGGTGCAGAGGAGCTCCATCATTTCCATGCCGGTCAGATGTCCGACCAACACTTTAGAGGCTGGTGGTCGATGTCGGGCTGCGTATTAACAATAAGTATGAGTTGTTAGGTAAGCACGAGTACCAAATGTAATTCTATTCTCACATTACACGTCTTTTTGTGTGGCGTCTAGCGTATATAGGAACAGAAGTTCGAAAATATTAGGGGTTTCCTTGTAAATTACCAGTTAAACAGCACTTTTAGGTAGTCAGGTAGTTCACTTCAGAATAGTTGTAAACAACATTTCCAACGTAATCATTAACGATAGATAATAGGCTAGACGAAGAATGAGAACGAGAACTAGAAGAAAAAGAACGAGGCAGACGCTGATTTAGGGATATCTGGCTCTTGCTGTTTGATATCTAGCAGATAAATCATTGTTATCTTTTGATTTCAAGGAGAATGTAGTTTAAATGTATGATTTAGGGATTTGTAAAGGGGGCATAACAAAAATAGAATGCTTAGTTTCCTCGTTACTCGGTTCTTCATCGACATGTTATTTAGGTTTGTCTATTTGATAACATGCAAATCATGGTCGTGTTCTGATCTTGGAATCCCGAGAAGGTGAATCTGAAATTCTAGTATTTGAATTGGGTCGTAGAGGTTCTATGATAGGTCTTGATTTTCAATCTTATTCGTTGCAACCTCGATTAGTGCCAGTTCTTGTTGAAAATTAAGCCACTCATTTTGTCATGCGGCAGATTCATAATGAAAGAACTTGAGAACTGGAAAACACCGTGAATAATCTATGTATTGAATTCAGTACGTATTTAAAGCTGATGTATGCCATATTTTAGCCGTTCCCCTAGTACGCAATAATTACTCAGTAACCGTGCCTTGAAATTGAAATATAATCGGTAGAGATTTTATTAATTGCTGGACGTTCTATTTGAAATTTAATATAAATTACTGGCTGATACTTGCAATGAATTTAATACCGACGTTTCCATTGGAGGAGCTCCTCTGCTTGAAGCTTCATTATTTTCATGCTGGTCAGATTCTCGTCCAAGACCCTCGAGACGGAAAGCTCCGTCGCGTTGACTACCAAGTATGAAGTATTGGCCAAGAAGGAGTTCCAAATTTAATTTCAATACGTCACGAGTAACTCCCATGGCAGCTTTCATCTCTTATTTTTCAACACAACGGCTGCACTTGGCTTAAAAATAAAATTCAGCTGCACGAGAGTTTTCTATATCGATGATAACTCTCAGTATTATATCAGAAGTTTCTAAGTTAAACTGAAATATCTGAGAGCAAAATTAGCGCGCTGGAATTATTTTGTTAACACTTTTATCTCATTAATAATAAGAATGTTACAGTGGTTTTGCCTTAGTCTTGCGTATGTGCAATTAAAATCTTTTCCTAACAGAATCTGAATAACATTATGCAACAGGCTTAAGGCCGAAAAGCTGACCGCCTGCGAATAATGGACCATTACCGTTTTAATACTGCCCAGGCGGCCCGAAAATCATTTGACAGACATGTGCTCATTGTAGAGCCAGTAAACAATTATCGGTAACTTGCAGGTAGTCCTGCTGACGGGCTTTGTAACCCTATTCAATAGAGCCAGCAATGTTTGCCAGCATTGGTCCGTCATTTCCGCTGCTGGCATCATTGTGCACTTCCAGTAATAAGACCATTCTTCGTGAAGTGATCAAGTCATTCGGTGGAGTAAAGTTGGCATTCGTAAAAGAGTAAAACACTCTGTAACACTGAAAAGAAAAGTATTCTCTCGAATATTTCATTTATTCACGAACTAGTTGAATAAATAAATGACAAAAAGCAAAATTGACAAAGCTGGGAATTTTGTGAAAAGCACTGCATTGTCTTCTGATTCGTATTTTTTTTTCAAATTCGAGAAAAAATCCCATTAAAAATTGAAAAATAATACTTCAACATGTTCGATAAAAATACGAATTTTAAGAGAGAAAAATGAACAGTACGTGAAATAACGTCTCTGCCGTGAACAATGCATTTAAGAAGCATTAGTGGAGAGAATGTGGAGCACGTATGGAGACATTTTTAAGTATATTTTTTCCTGGCAAGCCGCGCAACGATACTGCATGACCTGTAAAGAATACCACTAATAAGTCCTCGTTAAAGTGGTAGACATTTTAATTGAACAAGTGGCGACGTATCTGGTGCTTCTGTACTCGGTCGATTCAATATGCACATACTTTCGAGTTCCTTTGATACTGAACGGAGTACACTTTCGCTATGGTTAATCATTAACGTGCAATGAACTTCATATGAGTATTCCTCGTTAAAAAAAGAAAAAGTGTATTCAACTTACGTGCTTGATTGCTAATTGAATTCCCACCTACAAATTACGATCACCGAGCTCGTCACGGGAGAATATACAAGCATATCAGTAAATAATGAAGTTTCCAAAACGAAATTGTTAGTTACAAAAAATTGAAACACAAATATGTATAACAGTTCATAAGAATGGTAAAACCCTAACAAAGAGTTTAAAGAGGAAATAAATACCCGTTAGAATAATTTCCAAGTTCCTTCGTTTTATCTCTCGTAATCTCTCTCGCCTCGCTCTCACTTTCTCAGATATTTTTCTTCAACATTTGGATTTATCAAATAATTTCTTCATAAGGTTTATTATTTATTAACTTTTTCGAAAATCTGGGGAGATAGTCTCGTACACGTTATTCCGAACTCAGTACACTAATAGAGGTATAAACATTCATCCCGATGCGGCAAAAAGGATGTATACCTCTGACGGTATGCTCGAGGAAACGTCGATGGAAGCTATAACCGTGGATGCGTTCCAATTTTAACGGATGCATCCTTTCAAAGGTTTCGTGGAGCAATCTTTGCGACTGTGAAATTGGAGAAGAAGCGTAAAGGTAGCGCGGTCTCTTTTTCCTCCTCCGTCGTTCCTCCTGCATTTTGCGCCCTTTAGCAGATAGGAAAGGCAGCACAAAGTAGAAGCTCGTTCGATTGTAACGTAGTCTTTAATCATGTGTTATAAGGAGGTGTAAAGGATTGGCGGAATATCGCAACATGAATAATTGTTGAATATCGCAACATGAACCTTGAATAATTCACTCTTTGTTGACATTCATGATGCATTGCCTGCGAAATTACAGAAACATCATATTCTATTTTAGATCACTTTTTCTACAAACCACAATATATTTTAAGTGAACTTATTATGGCGCGAGACGTATAGATTTACACGTATGAAAGGGAACTGTATCGACCATTTTTTACAGTTAATTACTATTTACGATTATCACTATGTTTTAGTATTGACACAATTTGCGTTATGCACAGAATTACCAATACCACCCGCGTAGAAGCATTTCGTGAAAGAATAATTAAGAGTGGTTTATTACAATTCTCTTCAACTTAGAAGCTCCACCTTTAACACACGTGGCGACCACTCGTCGATAAAATCCATTTTGAAATTAACAATAAGACAACATATTTTTCACGTTAAATGTTTTACGTACACATTTTTTCGCCTCTCGATTTTGAATGCACATTTATTCAATTTGACAAGTGGCTCAGAATAGAGGCCACGAGTTTATATATTTTTTATTGCAGTAAATGGGTATTTCCGGAACTCAGAATGAACCTTGAAAAGAAAGACTTTCATCAAGCTCGGTATACAAGCGGAAGTATAGTGCAACGCCGGATCGAGGAATTACGGAATCCATAAAGCGAGATGAGAATACCTTCGAATAATCCGGGCAATTCACATTGAGTGGCGGTGAAAGCAACATCGAGTAATCGAGAAACTGGAGGCTCAACAGGCTCGGAAAACAGAAGGAAAATACCGGGAAGCTGTCGGCGTAATAATCGAGAGCCTATCGACGGGAATGTTTGCTTTTTGATTTCGTTTGCATCGGCCTCGGATGCTCCTCGCATCGGCAGCCATGGCAACTGCAGTTTGTTAAAAAAAAAAGTGAACCAGTGCTATCTAAAAAAGAAAGAATACTTGTACATAATTAAATTAAGCCATTGGCTTAAACTATTTATTCGGCCTCGTTTTGATAGAGATGTTCAGGAGGCGTAGGTATCAAAAAATGTGTGATATTGTAAAACGTGTAACACGTGCCATACAGATATGAGGCCACTTAAAAAGAAAAACTGATAACGCAAACATCGTCCGAAAATGATTACAATGGTTCTTCCGAATCGCGTCGCCTTTAAAAGGGGACCTTTAAAATTGAATTTCAGTAAAAACTCCCCTTATGCAAGAACGGGATTATCCAGAATTATCCCCTTGATTACCTCCAACAGAAAGTAATCAACGGGCTACATATTTCATCAAGGAGTCACATTCGGTATTGGTCTTTGCACCTGGCCTGCATCTCTATAAGACTCATTAAAAGTCAATGGCGACGAAAGTTTTCATATTAAGCTAGTATATTAAAAACGCGCAAATTCTCGTGATCAAGATTAACTAATCTCATGGCAAACGTAATCGTGTCGAAATTTATCATTGTCCATATTTACCTTTACTCGATGAGACGCTATCGAATCTTGCCCTGGACCTCGAGTAACGACTGAAATACAATTTAACCCCTTCTAAGGTTCCTAAAAACCAATATAAGGAATATTAACACATTTTCAACGTATTTACATTTTGTGTTGCTCCTCTTTCCTACTCTTTTCCGTTCCATTCAATATGCATCGACCCTACCTGTGTCCCTACACCCCTTCCATTCCATCTCACATCGAATCTCGAGTTTCTTCGTTGCTCGAGGGGGTCTCTTTAAGGTCTCATTCACATACAAGGTCCTCCTCCGTGGCTGTGTCTGGGAACGGCACAGTCCCGAGAATTCCATTTCACCGTTCGTTACTTTTTTCATTATTATTTTTTGCGAAATATTTATACTACACGGTCATTCAGAAACTTACGAAGTCGCGTCCAGGGCGCCGTAGCACTCTTGGTGTTTCAAGGCATTCGTTCATCCCCGGAGATCATCAACGGCTGCATTCATCCTCTCAAACGAATCTTTACAGCGAATTTTCCTGTTTATATCTCACTCAGTGGACATTCGTCGTCAATCTCGACGTGACTGTCGCGTCGGGTCATCTTATTTTCGGTAAAAATATGATTTTTCATATTAGTGCTGAGCTATAGAAATTTAATTTCTTTTTTTTTATATTACTATTCGGAGGAAATATATAATTTCAATAATCGGACATGCTTTTAGATTCTAAAATGTACATGTACCTGCACATTTATTCTGCTTTATGCCATCGAATAAAAGAATAAACTATTTAACTAGATACGGTTTAGAACAAAGATACGTAATCTCCGTATTGTTGTACATAGAGAGAGAATTTTTCTTTTATTTTTCTTTAAGAATTTATGTAGGCTAACAAGGTGAACTCTGAAAATGTTACGCGTAACGTCAATGCCAATAAAAATGAAAAATCTATCATTTAACTAGGTATGCTTTAAAATAAAGAGCTAATTTTGTTACATACAGGCTACTTGATATTCTTTTTTAATTCCGCTCCAACAGTTTACGTAGGCTGCCTACGAGGACGGAAAAAATACCACACCTGTGACGTCAATACCAGGACATCGTAAAAGAGTAGCCTGAAGAGTGATTGCGATCGATCGGTACGCCTCTGATTAGGTATCCTTCAGCCCCTCGACATCTGCGTTAGCTACAGATTGCCGAAGGACTCAAAAAGTTGCTTAATTGTTGAACGAATCACCGTGATTGACCCTACTGCCAAGTTGACCCTCGCGTTAGGACTTCCGGACTCCTCGAAGACGGTTTTTCTTTCCACTTTCGGTGTTCCGCCTTCTGGAAGAAAGTCCACGTCGGCCTAAGGTGAAGTGAAACACGTCGAGGAACTTGATCAACGTCGATAAAGAAGATTTTTCTAAATACCTACGTTGCCGACATTTGTTTTTATATTGACAGCTGTATCGAATTATATTGGGCATTGTACCAAATGGGATACTCCACCTGTCGTTTTCGTACAATAATTATAAAGAAATCGAAGTAAAACTCCAGAAATCCCCCGAATTCATGCTTTCTGGGGGCCTAATTGACTGCAGAGGGACCCCCTGCGCCATTTGTGATTTCCAGGTCGATTAAATTTTCACTCCAAGACCTCGTATTCCCATTGTTTCGGCACAGAAGCGTATACAACACTTTTTTTACCTTTATCCCATTCAAATGCGAGTTTATCGATTACCAGAGTGTTCTAAATCGTCGTAAAATTGTCCTGACCCTTTCGATTCTCATATCAGAGCCTTCGATAATTGTGTATTGTTCGAAATATGAGAGCTCGACGCCATTTTGGTTCTGGTCTGGGCAGAGTTAAAAAATTAAAAAAAAAAATCCAAATGTTGAATGTGTCAGGACAATTCTTAGATAATCAGGAGTGACATGTCAAAGTTTCGGACAGTTTGGTCTAATACCCTTAAAACAAAGTGTTGTATTCGGATCGACTGATATGAAGGGGGTTTCACTTCACCTTAAAGGTAACCGAAAACCTGGGGGTTTAAGGAGTACGCCATTTGGTACAATACCCAATATAATTCGACCGGGCTGTCAATATTAAAAGGAACGTCGGCAACGTAGGCATTTAGAAAAATCTTCTTTATCAATGTTGATCAAGTTCCTCGACGTTTTTCACTTCACCTTAAGACCGTAGGGAAACAGGAGGAAAGCTGTCACTCAAATCGGACGTACCGAGCGATAATGGGGCAACTATCGAAGGGCATGCCCTATTTTCGATTCCGTCCGTGTCGGTCCCAGCAACCCGACAGTCGCACTTCCGGCGCTACGTGCCGCCATTTAAAGCGGCGTGTGTCGTGCGACAGATCGATTTCGCTCGATATGGCATTATCGCATTACAGGCGAGTTGATTTATGTTCCAGATAGCCACCCCGGACAGTTGCCGTCTCTTTGCGACCCTCCTAGGCGGACCTCCTCCGATCGGTGCATTCCGGGCGGTGCATCCTAAGTGAACCTGGATCGCTGGGGGATCTCCCGAGGGACGTCCAGAGACCACCAGTTGATATCTCCGAAAAGAAACGGCGATACCAGAGCGGTTTAACCGCCTGCACTCTGGCTCTAAATCGCATCCATCCAACGAAGATAACGACACGTGGAAATTAACGTTGCGCGGGAAGGAGATAGTCGAAACAATAGAAAATTGTTAAGGATTGCCCGTAGGGTTGTACATTCTCAGAATGAAGACGGCAATGCAATTGTTATACTTTACTTTTACTCCAATTTGCTTCCATTGAGTAGTGTTGGCTTCCGGGGTTGAAGCGATAAAAATGCTTTTATTTTCAACTGCTTTACAAGTTTGAACCCGGTAAGGACCTTTGACGGTAGTTCCACGTTTCTAGAGCAGTTTGCTCCGTTATGTACTATTCTCTCTTGTGTTGTTCTCTATTCCGTTCTGTACGTGAAAATCTAGTCTTTTTGTTAACGCAAGAACACGTACGCATATGAAGTCTAAAAGCTTATTGGTTCGGAAGGGAATTCTCTCCAGTGATTCCTCGAGGGTTTTGCATAGGAAATAATCGATTTTCTAGGAAAATGCATTAATAATCTGGCTCTCTTAGTCAATTGGGGAAATCATGAGATGTTTTCTGATCGAAGGTTTCGGGGCATATCCTGGACTCATTGTGGATAAGGATAAGAATGAGCTAGGGCAGGGTGATAGTTTTGGAGCGTGTTTCTTAGGAATATGCTTAGGCTATAGATATGTAGACTAATCTAAGTATTAATATTATAATAATGACCTAACGGCTGGGTTTAAGCTCATCATCTGACAATAGTTCGGGCCTTGGACCGATCCTGATAGGTGATGTGCTTGTATGCGTTAGTTATATGTGCCCATAATTATGAAAGTGGTCTAAGTCAAAATTGAAAAAAAATGAGTTTATCAGTTATTTCACGCCACATTGTTTCAAACGAAATTAATTCAATGTAATTTCGAAACAAAAAATATATGACTTAGACCATTTTCATAATTACGGGCACATATACCTGCACGCAAACATCTCAGCATTAGGGTAGTGTAGGCATAGTTGGAAATCATTATTAGTCAAAGTTAGCAGTTATAATATAAAATTGATGTTGTATATTTTACGGATGGACATGGGGATACAAATACCAAGTGATGTGCTTGTATGCGTTAGTTATATACCAGCACGTAAACATCTTAGCATTAGGGTAGTGTAGGCATAGTTGGAAGTCATTATTAGTCAAATTTAGCAGTTATAATATAAAATTGTATATTTTACGGATGGACATGGGGATACAATCACACAGTTGTGTCGATTCTGGCTCATCGATAGGGTGGCGGACTCTACCTCGGTAGATGGTTCGCTTATACTTGTATATCTAGACATTTTGGCAGTAGCGTAAATTGTTTATGCTACATAGATGTCACAGTCGGGAAATCACCGTGTCGTCGTCAGAGGAGAGCCTTTTAGGGGAAGTTACTTCGCTACGTTGGCGAGGTTATTTACTCAACGACGAGGAATCGAGTAACTAAATATTGGCGATTCATAGAAGCGCGCATCTCGCAAAAGAAAATAGCAGTGCGATGCTTTTGCACGTTTCACCTAGATCGTTTACATTCCTTAACTAATTTGCCTACAGCCGGGCTCATCCGGTAGGTTTATGTACTTGCATGGTAGATAACGGCGTCATTTACAGCAATCTGTATCACATACGCGCGGTTCCTCCCAAGAGATCGTCAAACTGACTCGAAAAGGACTCTCTCTTGTATACTTTGGTGGAAATCAGTTTTATGTGCAAACAAAGTTGTAAGTTCGATGAAAATTTATCGTAATAGTTATCCATTTCAGGAAAAAAAGAAATGATTGTCATTTCTGGGCATTTTATTTATCTCCTCTGTATTTTCTGAAGTTTGTTTGCATTTGATTCAACTCCTTTGACAGATTATATACTACTATAGTTAATGTCATTTATTGAATTATTTAATGTACTCTTAATTGTACATGTGTAGTTTCAAGAAAAGAACCGAAATGTTTTTCACTTTATATCTTCTGTTGGTAAAGGGAATATGTATTCTCATTTGCATAGGTATTAAGTTTACCTATCTCCGATCCCACTTCGGCGTAAACTGTGTCTCAGTTAATACATATTTGAAGCTTGACTCGATGGCCAAGTTACGGTACTTCCTGTACTCGAAGAGCTGTTTCTAACTGTAATGGAAGTAAGGCATGTACGGGTGAGGAAAACATTAACGGAAGGAATATATATTACAACTTAAAGTAACTTTCTTTTTATCCGCGTATTGATACAATGTTGACCCGTGTCCACATACTTCATGTAGACAACATGCTTACCATCAATTACGACAATGGTGCCTCCGGTAAATTTAAACAGTCATTAACAAACATGTACCGTTCACCCTTGTCGCTACATTATTGAAATATTGTCTTCAAGCATTCGTGGAAGAATTTGTTCCAGTAAAATAAACCCTCAATGGACACATACCTCAACTTCAGAAATTTGTTAATACTGTGATCCAATACAGAGTTTCGATTGGGGATTTTTTACTCACAACTTGTCAGATCTGGGAGGATTTAGATAGCTTGGGGTGTAATCTAGGATATCAAATATCTGGAGGGGACCAGAAAGAATATCTTTCTGGTGGAACTGATAAATTTAGAGTGATTAGAGGGTGGACACGATACAGTTAATCCCGTTCAATACTAATCTCCACAAAATGTTAAAAATATATATTCTTTACATAAAGACAGACTTACTGCCACTCAATGTCAATCTACGCATCGTGTTTAAAAGCCTATATTCATAACGTAAAAAAGTGTAGATATTGTTGTTTCCAAATGGGCAGACAATCTGAGGGGAATATAATTCAAGTCTTGTAACACTGACCCTGTGCCCCTTTTTCATCTTAGCGAACATTTCCCCGGTTAAGCAGCACTACACTTAATTAGAGAGGGAAACAAGTCACGGTTTACCTGTAGACCTGCAAAATTCGAATCCCTGCAAAAATCGGAGCAAGGGCTCAAACCGAGTTTAAAACTAGGGCATCCACAGGAGCAACGTAGGGATTTTGTGACGTTAATATAATTTCATCGCGATAAGAAGGCCAATCGAAAAATTCAGTTTATAGACATTAGCTGAAGTTTCCCACCCTAAGGCCAGGTGCCTCAGTCCTGGTCATGATTCAAAATACCCAGCAGGGTGCTGTCAACCCCAACAACCTCATGCGTTACGAGGAACAGGTCGTGTCTCATTATCCGCGATGCCTGATACGGACTGTTCAGGGGTCGGGAAAAAATGTCGCCCTCCAAGGATACTCGATAAGGCGACATGTTTATCGGTCTCCGGTCCAGGGCATGAAATCCTGCTTTGTGCCCCGGTTTCTCTCCTCTCCTCCACTGACGGAGTAATTCCATCGGCCAAATCATGCCGGTCAAGGTGGTTTTTCTTCGTTTCGAAGAACATTCCGCGCTTCTGGGCAAGGAGTCTCCCACTTCGAGCCTCTCGCTTCCACTTCGGCCTCCACTTCAGGCTCCACTTCAGCCTCCACTCCAGTCTCTGCTCTCCGGCGGCGAACGGCCACTCGCGCGAGCCGCACTCCGGCCTTCCAACCTCTTCCGGTTACCACCGACGTTAAGGATCCATTTACGTAATTCGGACCGCAACTTATCCAGTTGCCCAAAGTAATCTCATCGCGGAGACGGCCCTCGCGCTCCCTCTCTCTCTTTTCGCGATTAACATCCATTTTCGCCGAAAGACTCTTTGACTCGCGCCGCTCCTCCACGAGTACGTATATGAAGGAACGCGGCTAATAGCCGTGGAGGGTGATGCTGCAGACCGTGTAAAAAGGGACTAATAGCTTTCTGGGTAGAACGTTTGTGCACGGAACTAGGGCATGTTTGTACTTCGGAAATGTCGAAGCACTTACCCTTAGTGATGAACCAGATCGTAATCGTTTGCATTTTCATATTTACCAAATTCACTTTGAATTATGAGTTATTTGACTATATTATGAGAATTACAACGAGACTTTTCTACCTCGGGGTGGACATTTTAATGTTATCTGTAATCTGGTAATTATGAATCATTTCAGATAACGTCATTGAGATGATATAGTAAATGTAAATAAACTAATGAATTTGATGTTGTGTCATTTTAACACGAACTGATGTTTACGTAAATCTTTTGAAGATCTGTAAATGTTGATTACATTTGTATTTATGTATGTGGTATTAGGAAGTGCCATATTCAGTGCAGACGAGAATTAGCGGTTTTCCGCCCATGACTGCCAAGGGAAACCAGTGTTGCTTAACGTTGCGTGTCCACTTGTTGTCCTAAGGCAAGAAAAGGGTCAATAGGTTGTAGGTTTGATGATAAACGGACCGTTTAATTTAAATGGAAAATGCCTGGTCGTGAAAACGTTTTTTTCACTTGTCAATGTGTCCATGCATGCGTTGGACCCTTCGTGAATGCAGGAACGGAAAGGAACGAACGTCCCCCAAAATTGCAGGAAACCGCTAAACAAGTGGATAGTGAGGGAGGGATAAATGACAGACGCGTGTCTTGGCACAGTATCGGTTATGCGTACTTTTTAACTGATTGCGAGGTTGTAAAATAAAATTGGACGAGTTCCACTTCTGTTCAGCGCCGTGAATTTAAAGAGGATGACGTCGAAAACAGAACCTCGAGTATTATTCCATACCTTAGACTAGGGTAAAATTAAAAAGTGTACACCATTTTACATCGATTTTGCATGAAATGGATACTGCTCTTTGTTACCATTTCCCATCTCTAGAGCTGACTCGGAAGTACTTCAATTGATCCCATTATAGTATCCATCCCATGATTGCGTTTTTTATTTGTAGTGGTACTTTTAATATCTTGTCGCAATGTCCCTCATAAGTATAGGTAATATATAATGAAGAAATCGAACGATGGTTTCGCATTCCAATAGATTCGCGTGACACTTCGCCATATACACTCCGAACGACGAAGTCGATAACGCGTCCACTCTTGAAATTAAAAAGAGCCGTACGATGATATGGTGGTACAGTTAGCCCCACATAAATGTCTAATCTTTAAACAAATGGCAAAGAGTTGGCCGATCAATTTTCCTGAAAAAGGTATCTCTCGATTGCATGAAATTAAAAGTTCCGTTTTATGTTACGGTGGCACGGTTAATCCCCCTAAATGGGGGATATTTAAACAAACTGCAAAGGGTTAGACAATCAATTTCCGTAAAAATGGTATCTCTCGATTGTATAAAATTAAAAAAGTCGCATCCCATGACAAGGTGATACGGCAAACCGGGTATAAATAATCTTCAAATATGTGCAGGCCACTCGAACAATCACTTTGTCTTTTTAAATAGGATTTCCCCACTATGTGAAATTAAAAAGTCCGTACTATAATATTGTGGTACGGTTAATCTTGCCACATATTGAATCCTTTAATATTTAAAAACAAATCAAACAACTGTATTCTTTTTCTTTTTTAAACGGTATCACTTGATTGCATGCAACTATAAGTCTCATGAAAATGTTCACATTCATAATTACATACAAAATCCAATTCTTTATGTCGAATTCATCTGAGATGGTCAATAGAGGTACTAAGAAAATTATATTAGACTTTCCTGTTCGATAGCAAGAAGTAATAATCATTTCGCTAATGAGTTTAAGTTCCCCCTCTTGATACATCTACTGCATATGGTAATCAAATGGCTTATCGTATGACTCAACAATTCCGCATATAATTATCCGGTTCAGCTAAGAACAAGTCAGTCGGTGTACGGAAATTGACGACTAATCAAAACCAATTGTAAGGAGAAGCGCTGGATTCAAACAGTTGAGTCAGTAGGGTGTTAAACGAAGTTAGTTAACATCCTTCGCGTCCATTTCATAATTCAGAAGACGTTAAAAAGCAACAAAAAAACTAAAAGCACAAACCGCATAAAATGAAATTTGAAATTTCGCTTCTTATCTTGGGTCTAACATATCATTGCATTGCTTGGCCTCGTAATCAACGAGATGCTTTATTTAGCTACGTTAACGAGAAGATTACAAACGCTACAGAAGTTGTTAATACATCTTCAAGCGTTAATATCACCGCATATGTAACTATGTCCGAAACTGTAAGTACCACAGAAGTAATCGACACATTTGGAAATCATGAGACATTTAAAAACGACAGTAGATCCAACAGTGAGAAGACAGCCGAACGTGTGAACATATTTGATGGTATTAACACGTTAAAAAATACCACCATACCTAACGACGTCGTAATGACAAATGTTGACGTACCCGAAGTTGACTTTGTAAGTACAATTGAAAGTGCTAATGCATGTGGCAAAGGTAATAATTTATGTGAAATCGTGAATACGCCCGAAAGTGCGAAAATATTCGAACTGACGAACACACTCAACGGAGTCAACATATCCAAACATGTGAACACAGTCGAAGATAATATCGAAGGCGTGACTACAACCGATAGTGGGAATCGATTTGAAACTTCTCCCACATCTAGTGACGATTATGTATTCGAAAACTCGTCTACAGTGACAAGTGTCAACGAGTTAGAAAATTCAACCATATCTGAATATGACTACGATAACTCCACCACGGATCCCCTAACATATGACTCATTCATAGAGGTCTCAGACTGGTGTCCACCTGGGTTCGTTCGCGTTGACGAAATTTGTCGAGAGCTCATGTAATCAAATTAATATTCTGAGATTTTTCGGTAATTTTTAATCCTTGCCTATGTTGCGGTGGAGTAAAGTGCAGTACATTTTATAATAGTTTTAATATAAACACGTTGCACTTTAATGGCACATTTTGTGTGTTAACATATGAGTCAATTCAAGACTGTTAACTCTAATGATAAGTACATCAATTTTATTTTACACTGAAACTTCGGCTTAAGCATAAAGCAAAAGTTATGTATGCATCGACGCCATTTTGGTAGCGTTGGAAGCAGGGCGACGAAGTGCAAGTTTATTGATATTGATTGATGCAATGCTATGGTTATCTGTACTTTTGGTCGATGTATTCGAAAGCATGTTCACAATGGCAAGGGTTATTAAGTTCAAAGATGTCAGCATGTCCGAAGATGTCAATGACACCAATGTCATGAGGGGTCCCTCCGAGACCAAAGTTGCTCCCATTGCAACTACCACGCTAACAACATATGATATACTTATTCATAGATGTTCCAGACTAGTGTCCATCTGGATTTTGTCGCATTGCCTACAGTAGTCGAAAACTCATTTATACACGAAAATTTGTTGAGATTTTACTATAATATGGAACCCACATATACATTCGGTACGGTGTAGCTTAATGAACTTAATAATGGTTTTAGTAGAAACTTGTTGCCCTTTATTGTTATTGCAGTTTGCGTAACAAAGCATGTGCGTAACATTACCCCTTTCAGTCCGACAAAGTTTAACGCAGAGTACAGAATACACAGACGGAAGTAGAAGATACTAAAGAAGTAGTAAAACATTCAATTGGAACAATGATAAACACGCCTGGAAGAACAAATGCCAACGAAAACGTTAAGAATATCAAGAATAATACCTTTGTTAACACTATTTCTACCAAAGGTGTCAAAAGACACCTTTTAAAATTTTAACTTGAAATTATTTTCTAAGTTTAATAATTCTTTCTCAATTAATGTTTTGAGTTTTCGTATAATAATTGTTCAATTTATTTAGCGATATCATTTTCCTCCAGCTCATCAAAACCTTTTGGTCGAAATAGGTTTACACAAAATGGTGGTAGAAATAGTGTTAATAGATACATACATTTTATTTTATATTATAACATTATAATCGTACAGCGAAAATTGGCAAAAATCGACTGCGACTAAACTTTATCTTAAAATAACGAGGAACAACAGATAAGAAGGAAAAAACGACTAGATTAAAGAAGTAATGAAAAATCATTGATTGAAAAAATTGTGGCGCCTTTTATTTCAACGATTATGCCAATTATAGCGCATTTTCCGCAGAGACGTTTATATGTTTATTTTGTTATAATAACATTCAATGATCGATTTACCATTGCGTGGGAAAATGAACGAATTTACAAGTGTATTACATTAATCGTAAATGATTTTCATTTATTGAAATATTTGAAAGATCAACATCCTTCCCGTATTAACAGTCACCAAGGCTTTAATAATGTATTCAGTGGGAAATTGATCGAGAGGTATCTTGTTACAGCATAATATTATGCATGCCGTGACATTTTATGTTATTAATTCTTTGCATGGGTAACATAACGTAGCGAAAGTAGTGATCATAATGTTAGATGGGTAATATCCGACATCATGTACTTATCTCGTTAAATTCACCTCACGATCACCGTAGTCATACATTATTCATACCTGTATTCTTTTCCTTTTTTTTGTATTTTTAATCAATGTATATTTATTAATGAATACTAATAGCAATTATATTTGTGTTTGAAGTTGTACTTTTAATATCACCATATGGTGCGTTTAAGTAAACAGTGCCTACTGTTAAAGAAACTGACTCAAGACTGATAAAGAATCAACAAATTCTTAAAACATTTGTCAATATCACGCACATTTTCGTGCACCTTGCTACCAAAATAAACGTTGTGTAGGTTGACCGTTTAAAATTTGTTTAATATAATTACAAGCTCCGCCGAAAAATGTCCTAATCAACGTTAATTTGAAAATGCTAAACCTTTTAAATTTATCAGAGAGACTTCCGACGTAATTAAAAATCACTTCTCAACAATTAGGTTTTTCCATAAAGTTCGCTACTATATCCCTATCTGCTACCGGCCTTCCAATTTATCGTTAGACAGAAATTGAGAAATACCAGACAGCGGAATAAATTTTCGAAAACGTTGAATACAGCACAACCGCGAAGATCCTTACAAAGCAAATCTATTTCCACGGCCATGAATACTGAAGAGTCTAATAATATTCAAGGCTTTCATAAACATTGGTTACGGTCTCCTTTCGTCTTTAATCGTACAGGTCACCGTACAAACGAGAACTGCCAACATCTGCCTCGATTAATTCCAGCTTAGCAACATTATCAGCTGACTCTTGCGTCATAACCGTTTAGATGCCTTAATTCGGTCAAACTTCCAACGAAATGATATCAAGAGGACGACCTTGTGATCCCCTTCCCAGATAAGAGCGGAAAATCCTGACTAAATTGAGGGTCAGGCCAGAGCCTCGAGTTGCACGCGCCATTGACGAACCTCTTCAGTGTCTGGTCAGTGCAAGTTGGAGTTGATGATACCGAAGGTGGTCAGGAAAGGACACCCGAGTTTTCTCGATCATTAACGTCAGAAAACAGCAATGAGGATCGCTCTTGTCCTCTTGTTGAGCTTTTTGTGCCTGTGCAGCGGAAAAACCACTCGCAAGCTCCTTGGAACGAAGGACCTGCTCAACACCATCGGTGGCACCTTCAGGACGGTCAAGGAGGGCATTAAAAGCAGGTACCAGACGATCTTTGGGACCGAGAATAGCACCACCGAGCCGCCCGACAGCATGCAAAACGAAAAATATCGCAACTTTATAAGAGGGACCAAGAGATGCCCGCCTAATCACTTGCTGGTGGAAGAAGAGTGCCGAGAGATGCTCTGATAGTGCACGCG